CTGTTTATAGAATAAGCGTACATCTGCCAGTTTTGTATTCAACTTCTCCACGGCTGAAAGTGCTTATATAGTGAAACACCAAAAGGGAAAAAGTTCTTTTACTTGCAATTCAAGCAATCAAGCATCAAGAAATCATAAACATAAGTGAATTGATGATGCTTTTCCTGTTATTGGTACTACAACCCAGCTTTTGTAGCATCCTGTGCATGACCCATTATTGAAAAAACTCGTTTCGGTCTTCTGCCACTGCTGTTAACTTTTTGCAGGCGACAAGATGGCGCAAGTTTGCCAAATATGCAGAGGTATTAAAAAATAAGTTTATTTAGATAGACTCCTCCTTTGGATTGCTTGGAAGACAGGTCAGTCAATTATAATGATAGGTCAGCCAGATCAGTCGAGCTACCGCCTAACCAGAACCTGCAGTAATCGATCTTGGCAAAGCTGGCCCTCAAGTCATCAGAGCCTTCATATGTTTGGGAAGAACTTGCGAAAGGAGACGTTACTCTATTACCTCTTTTCTCCATATCAATGCTGTCCGTTTTCTTTCATTCAAGTGCGTCATGACTCAGCGCCATTTGCTCCCATAAGCTCAGTTTTGGTTTGTGTAAAAAGGTTGAGTTTGCGGTGTCCACGTCCTTTGAAAAACTCTGTTAGGTGACCTAGAAATTTCTTAAAGCTCTATTTTAAAGGCCGGTGATATTGCGATTTCACATCAGTCAGTTTTCTTTTCAAAGTTTCGTAAACCATATTATAGAGAATCACCATTTTTGGGAGGAATCACTATTTTTTACGGCTTCTATAAGCTCAGTTCGTTTGTTTTTATCGTTCATCACGCTTGACATTAAAAACTGTCTTTCACTTTTGTAAGCACTTGGCGAATGAATTACCTTGAAAGCAAATTTGCTGTCTGTTGTTGCCTATTATTAATTACTCCACAAAAAATTTCCCATCATTCCTCTTCTTCTTGTTTTGTGTTCTTGTTCTTGTTTCAAGATTTTCTCTTTACCCTTTGTTTATGTCTCTTTACTAGTAGTAGCTGTATAATTTGCTTAGCCTTTCAGCAATGACTTTAACATGTAAGATAAGCCCAATATCTTTACTTCGCTAGGGGTGTGAAATCCC